GAGAGAGAGAGAGAGAGAGGAGAGAGAGAGAGAGAGAGAGAGAGAGAGAGAGAAAAGAAGAAGAAGAAGAAGAAGAAGAAGAAGAAGAAAAAGAAAGGAAAGAAAGAAAGAAAAAGAAAGAAAGAGAAAGAAAAAAAAAACCCAAACAAGCGATGAGTATGTTTGTTTTTACATGAGGAATTAAATCTGGGCTGAATATTTCATCCTGAAGGATATACCAAATCTTTGTGGCTTTTTTTATTTTATTTTATTTTTTTATTTTCAGAGTCAACTAACTCCCTTTAGTCTCATCAATGCTGAGAAAACCGCTTCCCATAAATACACAGTACAAGATTGCAGAAGCATGTTTAGGGTCGTTTCAGAAATCGTTAGAAATATTAGTCCCAGGCTAAAATCCACTGAACGATTTTTAAACACTTGTTAACAACTCAGACAGCAACTTACAGGAGCTGGAGAGATGGCTCAGCAGTTAAGAGCACTGACTGCTCTTCCAGAGGATCTGGGTTCAAGTCCCAGCAGCCAATGGCAGCTCACAACTGTCTGTAACTCCAGTTCCAGGGGACCAGACACCCACGACAAAACACCGATGCACATAAAATAAAAATAAATAAATTAAAAAAATTCTTTTTTTAAAGAAAGAAAAAGGCAGGGTTGGGGATTTAGCTCAGTGGCAGATCGCTTGCATAGCAAGCCCAAGGCCCTGGGTTCGATCCTCAGCTCCAAAAACAAAAAAGAAAGAAAGAAAGAAAGAAAGAAAGAAAGAAAGAAAGAAAGAAAGAAAGGAAGGAAGGAAGGAAGTAAGGAAGGAAGGAAGGAAGGAAGGAAAGAAGGAAGGAAGGAAGAAAAAGGAAAGATAAAGAGAGAAAGAAAAAGGCAACTTACTACATAGTCCTGGAAGTCACTACAAAGACCAGGCTGGCCTTGAAGTCACAGAGATCCACCTGCCTCTGCCTCCTGTGTGCTGGGGATTAAAGGCGTGCACCACCAACTCCCAGTGATAAAAGTAGCTTTTAAAAGGTCTTTTCTTAGCAAAAACACCAAGTCAGTCCTTAATTTTTGTTTGCTTGTTTGAATGTTCAATTTGCTCTGAACACTTCTGCCCTGGGAGCCTTCTCTAGGCGTGGATGTGGACTGTGTGTGTGTAAGCACTTCCTAGTATATTTTGGCACGAAACCAAAGGCAGGCAGGTGGGTGGAGGCGGGACCTTTGCCGGCTCTGTGAAGGTGGTCCGTCATTTGTGTGGGAACTGGGCAGCCCTGATCAGGAAACTCAGGGTGGTCCACATGGTCACTTGTAATTGCTCTGGGCCAACAAAATAAGGGCTTCCGGTGGGGAAGGCCTGGCTTGAGATAAAGAACAGGTGCCTAAGCGCCTCGGGCCTTCAGAACGGCCTTCCTCAGCCTCCTCGGGCTAGAAGCTGAGTGAGGATGTGGGGGTGGAGCCCTCTCTGAGTAGTGGTGAAGCCGCCGGGGTAGAGCCAAGCAAGCAGGTAGGAGTCATTATGATACCCCAGGGGCAAGTGTTCCCAAGGCACAACATTCTCGTGCAAAACTTAAATCTGGCACCCCGTTTCTGCCTCGCTTCATCCCGACCCTGGCCCTAATGCCTGAGGCTCCTTGCTTATAAAGTCCCCCCATTAGGACAGAGGCAGTCCTTTCCAGTGTCCTCAATCCGTGGAGTGGTGGGTTGAGTGGGCTGGGGCTGGCTCCAGGCGCCTGCCTGGGCTGAAGAGAGGGTAGTGGCTGCTTTCATGCCTAGCCCACCCCTTACTACATAATTATCACCATGGGGCTAGATCCTGGACGCTAGAAATGTGGGTTTTACAGTGAAGTCCAATGAGGCTAAGTGTTGGCCAGTGTTTATAAAACACTACCTGGGCCAAACAAGACATTATAGTTTTAGCTTAGCAGTTGACAGCTAATTGATCTTGAATTTAACAGACAGAACTTTGGGCCAGTCAGAGGGAAAGCAGCTGAGAATGTGATTTTTTACCAGCCCAGGCAATATGGATGGTGTCTGGAGGTGCTGGTAGCTTTTTGGGCAAAGCTGAGTAGAGGTCCCAGTGAACTTTCACCCTTGGGTACTCTTCATCAGAAAGTCCCTACAGGCTGTAGGTGATAGGCTATCTGGGGTTTCATTATAGAAGACATTATATCACCATCCCCAGGGTCTGAATCAGCAGCTCTCACTGGGCAAATTCTCAGCCAGGTTGTAACCCAGTGATGTGACTCACAGAAACACTTTGTTGGGTTGTTATTTATTTATTTATTTATTTATTTATTTATTTATTTATTTATTTATTTATTTATTTTTAGAGACAGGATTTCGCTGTGTCGCTTTGGAGCCTATCCTGGAACTTGCTCTGTAGCCCAGGCTGGCCTCGAACTTAGAGGTCCGCCTGCCTCTGGCTCCCAAGTGCTGGGATTAAAGGCATGTGCCGCCGCCGCCGCCGCCGCCCGGCTGTCTCTTCTTATTATCTGCAGGCCTCTCTCACACCTCACTGAATGATTAAGTGGGGATAATGATATTTGTCCTGGTAACCTCTCCAGGCTGTTATCGGGATAAATGAGGCAATATGTGAGAAACCGCTCTGTAAACTGGTGACATTATGTAAACACGATTATTGGTAGGAGTGCACTCCCAGGTGCCAGAGGTTCAGCCAGTCTGTCCGAGATCACCGTGGAGTAACACCCAGTACTGTGGGTCGGATGGAAATTAATAGATGGCCTAAGCATTCAGCCTGTCTTCTGGGCAGGTGTGTTTGAGGGGGTGGGTAGCAGCCTGGCAACATTTGGTCCCTCCCACGACCAGGGGAGCTCCGGTGAACGAACTGGGAGCTCAGTGGACTGGAGGGGAAGGAGAAGCTTCCAGAAAGGGGGTGGAGGGCTGAGATTCTCTGGATTAAGTTCTTCCTGTGGGTCATGACCCTTTTGATGGGGGTTAGAAAGAGCAATGGCTGCTCTTAGGGAGGGCCAGGGTTCAATTCCCAGCACCTACATGGCAACTTACAAACACCCTTGGGCACCAGGCACATGCATGGTATCCATGCATACACACATATACATTCATAATGCATGTATGCAAAACATTCACATACAAAAAAATAAACCTAAAAAAATTAAAAATACAGCTGGGCATGGTGGTGTGCATCTTTAATCCCAGCACTTGGGAGGCAGAGGTAGGCAGATCTCAAGGCCAGCCTGGTCTACAGAGAGAGTTCCAGGGCAGCTAGAACTACATAGTGAGACCCTGTCTCAAAAAAAAAAAAAACCAACAAGAAACATGCATGAGGTGATCTGCGGCTCAATTGACGGACACAACACTGCCCTAGGGCAAGCTTCAGGGAGCTGCCTGATGGGAGCAGATAAAACCAGGCTCCCAGGACACAGTCACCCATATCAGTGAGGCAGTCCTGACTCAGTGTTGCTTATCTGGGGCCCAGGCTGCCTGAGGTGGTGAGGTGGGATGGACAGAGTGCTGGCTGAGTATCAGAACTGGGTTTGAGTCCTGGCTCCAAATTCCACCGCAACCTGCCACTGGGCAAGATGGCCCACCAGTTGTGCGTCCGGCTCCTTGTCTGTAGAGAAGAGCCCTGGCGTCGTCCATTTGCATGGACTCTGAGCACTGTCCGAGTGTGCCCTGTGGAGGTGCTGGGGCCTGGGAGGCCAGGGTGAGTAGCTGAGGTCAGGGGAGGCTGGCTAGGGAAGGGAAGCCAGATGCGTCTGCCTTTGGTGAAGCTGGAACTTGAGCAGGTCAGGTGAGCAGAGAAGGCCGGGTGAGCAAGGTAATAACGAATTGGGGCACAATGGAACGGACTTGTGGGTGAATACGGTGGCAACAGCCCTGCTGTGGCCAGGGACAAGGGAAGAGAGAAATAGAAAGAGTAGGGTCAGGTCCCCGGCCAACACATTTCAACTGGCTCCATCAGGATGCAGGGCCCAGAAGGGGCTTGTGAGCTGGGACATGATGGCGATTAGCTTGATCTTCAGTGCAATTAATGTGGCCTGCAGCTCCGAATGGTTTGGATGGGGGCGGCGGCGGCGGGTAGCCAGCAGCCAGAAAGACAGCTCAAATGTTCTAGTCATACTTCTGGCTAGAAAGGAGGAAGACTCAAGGCGGGCACGGGGTAGGGGTGGGGGGTAGAGGTGGCGGTGGGGATGTTGGGAGTAGCAACGGATCTGACCTAGAGATGTATCAGGAAATAATGCTAACCCTTGGTGCCCGGCTTTGCATCTGCGCATGCGTCCTGAGTCACCTTGGCACAGGGGCTAGCAGAGGGGACAGCAGAGGTCCCTACCTGCCTACAAGCACGGCTAAGCTTCTCCCCGACTCCGGCTTGATGGGTGACAGTGCTGAAGGCTGGGTGAGGGCCAGGACCCTGACACTGGGCTCAGAAAGGTGGCCCATTTAACCTACAGAGCTAAGAAGAACAAAAATAACCCTCCATCCTCAAAGAGTCCCCAGCCTCCTGAGCCTGCCGAAACGTACCTGTAAATCCAAACACAGTTCAGAAGAACCATTTTGTCCCGGCGGCCACATGGGTAGTGTTTGTGTCGGCAGGAAAAATCCGCTGTTCTTGATTTAGAGTTACCCAGGGGTAGATTGAGATTTACGTGGGACTCAAAGGCTAGATAATCTGTGTGTGTGTGTGTGTGGGGGGGGGCTTCAATTAGGAAAAATAATTCAAATGTAACTGTTAGGCTCTCCCTGGGCCTTGGAAATGGTGATGTACAGGTAACAGGCCCCCAAACTTTAACCTGTAGCTCCCAAGTCCACTCTATGATAGCAGCCTGGTGTATTTTATTAGATGAAGATATTTAGGCTGTTGTTTCACAAAAAAAGCAAACAACAACAAAAACAAAACACCACGGGTTGTAGCCTCAGAAGCTACCTAGCTACTGTTCTATCTTATGGGTAAAGAGAGAGACACTCGCCGGGCGGTGGTTGGCACACGCCTTTAATCCCAGCACTCGGGAGGCAGAGGCAGGCAGATCTCTGTGAGTTCGAGGCCAAGCCTGGTCTACAAAGCGAGTACCAGGAAAGGCGCAAAACTACACAGAGAAACCCTGTCTCGAAAAACCAAAAAAGAGAGAGAGAGAGAGAGAGAGAGAGAGAGACTGACTCAGTGAGGTGATTTAGGACACATCTGCACCTGTCCCAAGGCAGGGTAGGGATGTGTCCTGGATGGAGGCCTCTGGTCTAAGGTCCCCTTTCTCCAGTGGGTGGTGGCGGCTGTGAGGGTCCTGGGGTACTTGAAGGGTGTCCTGGGGCTTAGGTATCTCCGCCTTGATGGATGCCATGCCAGGGGCTCCCAGCACCCGGGTGTGCGGTAGAAGCCGGACTCTGGTCATCTTAGGGCCCCATATGCGGCAGTCTTGGCCTCAGGAACCGAGGCCTGCAAGAGAAGCTGCCAACTGCGAGGTCACCAGTGTGGACGATAAGCAAACCCAGCCTCTTACTCCTGGACACAGCTGTAAAGTGGGCTCAGGTTCCTTACCTGTGGAATCAGGGTGGCAGTCACTTCTGTTTGTCTGAGTTCTTACGTGTAGTAACAGGATTTCCCCTCAGTCCCCAAACTGAACAGTACTCCCAACCTCTAGGATGCCAAAGAGCCTGAGAGGGCTGGGAGGATGGGGACAGCCTGTGGCCTGAGGCTCAAATTCCTTGCGGGAGCCCGTGAACTCTTACTTGGAGCCACTGGAGCGGGCGGTTCGGGCTTAGTCATGTGAACTCTGACAATTTGGGATGTAGGCTTGGGGGGACCAAGGTACGGTTCCGTGCATCATCCTTAGATCCCGGCTACTCTAGGGCGGGCAGGCGCAGGGACCCAGTGCAAGATCCGCGAAGCCGCCTAGCTCTAGCTTCCGCTCGCTTTCCACGCCCACTTGTGTGCTTCCCCAACAGTGGGGAGGTGGGGGGGTGGCGAGCCCTAATCTCAGAAGAAGGGGTGTGGCCCCGCTCGCGTTCTCTAGTCTGCGGTGTCCGGGGGCAACACTCCAAGATCAGTCCTCGCATCCTCTCCAGATCGTGTCGCACACCTCCTGCCCCGGGTCCCACCCACCCGCTCAGGCGTGGCACAGTGCCACCACGCGTGACCGTGCGCTCCTTACGTGGGGGACGTGCTGGGTGCTGCCTCCTTTCCGGCGCGGGAGGGAGCAGCCGTCACTCTCCCGCTCCGGCTGGGAAGCCCCAGCTTGGTGCAGCAGAGGCGCGGTGCAGCCAATGGGGACTGAGGAGGTGGGCCGGCTGGCGGCTGTCACCCTCCCAGGGACGGGAGCTCGGAGGTCCGGAGCGCGCAGGCTGACGCCCCGCCCGGGGACTGAGGGGGAGGAGCCAAAGCAGGAGGAGGAGTCGCAGATCCGCCACCGGAGGACCACTGCTCACCAGGGCTACCGAGGAGCCGCTGGCCCCACGCCTGCTTCCCTGCATCCCCGACCGCCAGCATGATCGCTGCGCAGCTCCTGGCCTATTACTTCACCGAGCTAAAGGATGACCAAGTCAAAAAGGTGAGCCCCGCCGGCGCCGCCCTGGCCACAGCCTTGCATTCTTGCATCCGCTCGCCACCGCCTGCATCCTCCCCCAGCCTCTCCCGGAGGCATTCGGTTGGACTACAGGGTGCAGGCGACAGGCCTCGCTCTGGGGTTCACCATGGCATTGTCGGCGTGTGAGCGTGTGTGTGTGCTTTGAGGAGATGGGCGGCTGGCCGAAGACCCCCACTCCCTAAGGCTAGATTGTATACTGCAGTGTCCTTGAAAAGGACCATGGATGTCAGTTGGGTACCGCGAAGTGCCAGGCTGGGACCTGGCTGGGTGGGGACCAGCGGGCCTGTCTGTAGGGCCTGTTTGGGAAGGTCCATGCGCCGTGGGCGGGGAAGGTGTGAGCACTGAGATATGCTGGGGAGGTTAGTGAGCAGCCGGTGGGGGTGCTGGCTGAAAGCCAGGCATCCCATATTTGGGGTTCCCATTTGGAGAACGTGATGCCCTCCTGAGACCGTCACTGGGCTCCCCCAGCTGTTGCAGCTGCTCCTTAATCTGAGGACGGGGTGACCCGCCTGGCTTTCCGGTGTGGGGAGAGGAGCAGAGGCCACCGGAAACTTTGCTCATAGGCCTTCGGTCTGGAACCGCACGTCTGAATGGAATGTTTTATTCCTCTAAAGCTGTAATTTCCAGGCGGTCTCAGCCCCGGAGCTCAAATAAGACACTTTCGTCACTTGGAGAGCGTGGAGGGCTTGGCATGTGTTGCTTGTGACATGTGTATTCTTGCACACGGACACCTGGTCCTAGGGGTGATGTTTGTCTGGTGTAAAGTGAGGTATGCTGGTGGGTCTTAAAGATTTATCTCCCCTTTCTGCCACCTTGTCTAGGATGTTTTTCCAGAAATAGCCTGAGATTGTGGGGGAAACACACATTTTTATTAGTGCTATAGGTGTGTTTTACCCACCCTAGGGTAGTTGATATCATCAAGGTTAGGTAGTAGGTTCAGTCAGCCTGACTTTGACATTCAGACAAAGAGAACTATCTACAGGTGAGAGGCAGAGGTGACCAGGGGCTGACCCTTTCCCACCCGAGATTTGCTCATCTAGCACCTTAGGAAATGGTCTTACCCAGGATTATGACCTCCTGAAGGACACAGCTAGTTAGGGGTGGAGCCAGGGCGGGGCTCCGGCCTCCTTCCACCTAAGACTGGACCAGAACTCCTCTTGGATATCAGCTGAAAGGGAGGTGCTGCGGGACAAGGCTGCTGGAGATGTTGCTCCCATCCTGGATCTCAGGCTGGGTGTGGACCCAGAGGAGGGTGGTTAAGAGATGATGGGCTTGAGCACATGCCACAAGCTAGGGTTCCCATACCTCAGGACGCACGTTCACTCCCCTGCAGAGACCTGCCCTCAGGGAGCTATGCATCAGCACTTGTAATTCCCAAGTTTCTTCCTTGGTGGTGTACATTGCTGATGCTTATCTCATGGAAAGGGGAGACAGAAGTTCCAGCATCGCAGAGTGTGCTTAGAATAGGCCTCCGGAACCAAGAGTTCACAGGCCTCCTACTTGTGATAGCCTCGGTGACTCCGGACGGCAGATCCCAGGGTGGAGGCCCAATGACCTTGTGAGCTAAGCCTCAGGCATCACACCCACAGCCACCTGTGTGCCTGCCAGCTGCCTGGCTGCTCCACTACTTGGTGCTGGGTGGCCTCCAGTGGCTGGGTTGGGCTAAGGTTTGGACCACAGCTCTCCACTCCAACAAGTGGCCAGATTCGCTTCTGCCACATTCTATCTTCCAGGCTCCTGACTTCTGATTCAAAGGATGCTTCACTAAAGCCCTCCTCACTCTGAGATTGTGATGTCCTCCCTCCCTCCCCCATCCCTGAGCCTTGCTGGAGGAAAGTCCTGAGGCTGAAACTTTTACCTTGTTTGTGTAGGAGATCTTAAAAAAAAAAAACAAAAAAAAAAAAACAAGAGTTCCCAGCAGGGCGGTGGTGGTTCACACCTTTAATCCCAGCACTTGGGAGCCAGAGGCGGGCGGATCTTTGTGAGTTTGAGGCTAGTATGGTTTGTAGAGGGAGTTCCAGGACAGCCAGGGCTATACAGAGAAACCTGTCTTGCAAGAAAAAACAAAAACAACAACAACAAAACCCCTTCCACATCTCACCCAGAACTTCCGTATACTTCTTAGGCCCCTTCTAGGACATCACCTCTGCCTGTATGGTGGGCTGCCATATGTGGGTGTGGTCCAGGAGAGGATCCCTGGGCACATGGTGGTCACTTGCTCCAATGAGTCAGTGTCCTCTGCTGCCGAGTACCTCTAGGGCTCACTATTTTGTTGGAGACCTGTCCTTCCCACCCCACTGCCCCTGATGAGAAAGGCTGCCTGGAAGTGCAGGTCTCCAAATCCGGTTCTTTTTGTGAGGCTGGGCCCTGGGAGCTACCCAGAAGGGAACCCAGTCGAGACTTTCCCAGCGTGGGTAGCCATGATGATTCAGCCCTCCAACCTCAGGCGGCCGGTGGGGCTCTGGAGACAGACTTGGCGTGCCCTCTGGCAATTCATAGGACCTTGCTGTCTGCTAGAAGGAAGGCAATCGGATCTTGTTGGGGAAGGTTTTCAGGGTGGCCCAGAATACAAAAGCACCCAAGAGAGGGTTTTATTTCCTCCCACTGCCGGGGAGGCAGCTGTAATCCAGCCTTTCGGGCCACATTCTGGGGCGGAAATGGGTGAAGCAGCGTCTGACTTAGCTCCGAGCTGAGGCTCTGAGGCGGCTCCAGGCTGCTTTTGCATAGTGTTGGTGAAAGATTCTGTGAAAAAGGGGACCTGGCTGATGGAAGCGTAAAGCGCACACATTTTTCTTCACGTGTCTCACGTTTCCAAGGGGAAGAACAGGCGCATGGGTGCTTGTGACGGATTCCATTCATCAGAATGCCGGACGTCCTTTAGTCCGGGAAGCTGGAGGCGGGGCCCTCTAACCTCCAAGTGGCTTTGAACACGCCTTGTATTGCCCTGCCTGCTCTCCATTGTGTGTCGCCAGGAGGGACCTGGCGGCTGCTCGCATAGTATGCTGTTTGTTTAGACAGGAAAATGAGAGATGGCTCAGTAGTTCAGAGTGCCTGCTGTTCCTGTACAGGTCCCGAGTTCAGTTCCCACACCCACGTCAGGTGGCTCACGACCACCTGTCACTCCAGCTCCAGAGGGAGTCTGCCTCTGGGCTCCTTGGGTAGGGTCACACAGACACGTAATCCAGAAAAGACCAGAGGTGGGGTGCTTTTAGACCTCAGCACTTGGGAGGCAGTGGTAGGTAGAAAAATAAAATAAAACAAGAAAGATGGAGCCAGGATGATTAGAGAAGGACTTGATGTCTTTCTCCTAGGCTTCCCGGAGCAGCCAACAGCAAACATTAGAGGACTTTCTCTGGCTGGATCCCCATCGCCCTACCTAATCTGCATAGGGAACCAACAGGCGGCCCAACCCAGGAGTCCTTGGCCCAGGAAAGCCAGGTAGAAGAATGTGCTTATCAATGAAAAGGCCACCAAAGGCCATTTCCTCAGAGGCTGGCTGTTATAGCTATAAAGGCAGTTGGGAGGAAGAAAAAATGGAGCCGGCTGTGGTGGCTCCTACCTGTAGCCCCAAGGCTCGGCAGGCCGAGACTGGAAGACTTGAGTTCTAGGCTAGCTTGGGGGTACACTGAGAGACCCCGTCTCAAAGCCATTCTGTTCCTTATTGCTTAGGGAGGCCGGGTGAGATGACTCAGTGGCTAAAGCGCTTTTTTCACGAACCCGAGGACCCGAGTTCGATCCCTGGATCCCACAGTTGGAGAGAGCCAACTCTTACAAGTTGTCCTCCACAAAAGCATGTCTGCACTCACATCGTCATCAACAAGAACAATAGTAATACGTTGAATTTTAAAAAGAAAATTGTGAAAGTTGCCCTGTACGTTTTCAACCTGGTATTGCACCCTCAGCTAGGGAAGGCCTCCTTGGTGAGGGTTCTGTCATATTCCCTGGTTCCCTCCACCACAGGTGTCCTAGCCTCCACCGATACAGCGGTGGCCCATCATTTACGGGTAGGATCCTGAGAGAATGTCGTGAGGAATAAACCAGGCAAGTGGCTGGCTCTGAGGTTCCTCCTCATGTGGCCAGACCATGTGGTACTGTCTCCCACGCTCCTGCTGTTCTCCGGGGAGATCGTGGACAGCCTTCTCCTCGAAAGACTGGGTATGGCTGGATGGTCTGCCTGCGTGTGTGCCCGTGTGTCTGTACCCAGGGTTTCCTGGCCGATGGAGCTAGTCTCTGGAGCCAGCTCTGCATATGCCTGAGGTATGTTGGCTACACAGAGGCAGCCATCCCCCTGCGTCCATGTGCAGGACTTAGCGGTGGCCAAACCACCTTCCGCTTGTTCCTTGACTCCAGGTCCAGGGCTGTGTAAACCAAGCTCTGTGTGTTAACCTGAGGAAGGATGGACGTTAGTCTGGTTGGGGAATGGAGGACAGGTGCCCACCATCTGCCAGCCTACTGAACCACACCAGTGGGATGTGAGGAAACTACTTAGTGTGTTGTTGTGTTCAATGTATCTGATCTGAAACAAAAGCATTTTTTAACAGTCGGTAGATTTTTATTTCTAGACATAACATTGGTTATTTCTAGAAATAACATTGATGAACTGAACAAACAAGCTTGTTAGAAGCTTTGAAAGGTAGAGTCCAGTGGACAGCACCCATCATGTAGTAACTTGTTTTAATGGTTTCTTAGCTCTGAGCATCTTGAGATACCTTGTGTCGTATGAGATGTCACCTAAATATGATTGA